TATCCATTATTAATATTGATATTTTTTGAAAAATCTTTTCACAAAGAAGTAAAAATCACATAAACCAAAATCACACCACAAAAATAAGTGCGAAAATTAAAGTGCGGAAGCAAGAAATAAGAACACACAAATTTATAGTGTTTCGGTCAACTCGACCTACGTGCACTCCCCGGAGGCGCCCTCCGAGTATTGCACTATACTCGTAACTCTCCTTTAGCCCCCACAGCTAGGCGGAGAAGCCTTTACAAATAACCTCTTTTTGCCACCCCGACAAGGTAGAGAACCTATCTTCTTTTGCTTCCTCCTAAAGCTGGCTGAGAACCACAATCAGATGCTGAATCCTTACCTCTACCAACCCTTCCATGGATGAGAAACTCTAGATGAAGAAGAAGCAGAGCGATCCTTGAAGCAACCCTTTTGAATCCCCTCACAAGCTCCCCCTCACAAGATCCTCTCTCTCTCTCTCTCTCTCTCTCTCTTTCTCTCTCTTTTTCTCTCCTCAAGGTCTTCTCAGGTCAAGGCAGCAGCAAAAGATTGTTCATAAATGTTGAATAAGAGCTCTTAAATAGAAGAGCTTCAAAGGAGCTCATTAATTGCAAGTTGCCGACAATATCATTCAGGCCGATATGTCCATCGTCCTGGCCGATCAGTATAAATCTTAGAAGATCGGCCAGAGCATCGCCCTTAAAGCAAACTGGACGATTTCAAAATTGGCTTGATCATCCAGGACGATCTCACAATCGTCCAGGCTGATCAGTTCAAATCAGAGGAAAATCGTCCAGAGCATCGTCCTGAATTCAAGCTGGCCGATATTTATCATCCAGAAGTAACTAAGATTTTTGAATAGATCATTCTGGCCGATCCTGAGATCGTCCTGACCGATATGATCATATCAATCATCCTTAATTACTTCATTGATTTATCTGATTAATTAAGGCATAATTATGAATATCGTCTAGGCCGATCCAAGACCGTCCTGGCTGATTTCCAAAAATATAGAATACCTTAATTGTTTATGGCAGCAATTTCTTTATGTTTTGAACTCATCGTACTGGCCGATACACTATAAGAAAACAACTAATTACCGGCGACATTGACCGTCGGCAAACCGTCGTCATTTTGGACCGCCGGTAATAACCGCCGGTACAGAATTTCCTACGCCGAATTTTTCGGCGGTCACATACCCGCCGGATAACCGCCGATAAGTTATATAACCGCCAGTAAATAAGAGTGAACCACCGGTAAAAACCGCCTGTAAAACTCGCCATTTTTTGGTTATTTTCCTGTAGTGGATACACGTATCGTCCAGGACGATCTGTTAATGATGGCTATCTTAATTAAGAATCCTGAATAGAATCTCTATTTTAAACTAGATCATCCAGACCGATACAAATATCGTCCTGACCGATGTGAGTAAAAATATAAATTCTAAGTCAAGTGTGTGTGTGTTGGGTTACTTAGCATCAGTCTCTTTGAACATTACAAATAGACTCAAGAAGAGAAAAAGCGAAGTACAGACTGACTCAACCCTAACCTATGCAAACTGGAACTGGCTTCGTTTATTCGTCCGATCTTTGATTCCTGAAAAGTTTGAAGTAACAGATAGTCCAAGAGAATCTATAGTGTTTGTTAATCATCAAAATATAAGTCATGAAAATAGATTTGCAACAGTTTAGAGAGAGAGAGTTAACCATTCAAGGGAAGGTTTAAATGCTTAAGTTGACCATTTGTCTGGTCAAAAGGTTTTGTTGACTTATGAGGTGGATCAATACATAAATAAAAGCACAAAGGCTCTGACTAAGAGCTCAAAGTTGACTTGGTCAAAGTTATTACCCATGGTTAAGACATTCTTAAGCCATTGGATAGAATAAGTTTGAAGGTTTTGTGAGGTTTGGATGGGTCTAGCTTGAATGGGTGGGAGGATCGGACCGAAACAAGACAAGTTTGAAAAAAGTTTGACTCAATTAACCAAGTCAACTATTGATTGGGTCAACATGTCCAGTCAGGTCCAAACTATTGGGAAGGTGATCAAAGTGTTTTTGAATAAATTTGGGATTGATTTTGCATTTGGTTGTGTGATTATAAGATTTATGGTTGGTCTAGTTAACTTGGGTTTACTTGGTCAATCAGGATGACCTAGGGGCAGAGGTTGGGCTCAACAGATTTAGATTGATATTAAGAGTTCATTGTGTTGCAAAT